CGGTGTAATTTCTTTAGTGGTGTAGGGCGCAGACACCCCGTGATAATGCGGCATGTCTCATTAAGAGCCACATCCACTATTTTAGCATGGTGAGATGTGTTCCAGGCATGCATACTCAGCAGCAGAGTAGCATAGCACAAGGGCAGATGTCCTCACTGTGTCTGGTTGTGATCCCCAGGTTGTGCCAGTCAGCTTTCGTATGATAACTTCATAACTGTATTTTTGCTACTGATTTGACTTGTCATGTAAATATCTGATATACAGGATGTATTTTCATTCACTGGACCAAATCTGACACAAATAACCGATATGCCCAAATTTGGATACTGGTCGGGTTGGTGGGGGAGGGGTTGATTTTGTCATTTGGGATTTATAGTTAACCTACAATCAAAAAGTATTCTAATATCCGCCAACTATGGAATTGAACCAGACTTGGCACACAATGTACAGTAGAACCACATATTACATGAGGAATCGATTCCAGGACCATTTAGGTAAAACAATCTTCACGTATATTATGAAATCTTATTTTTCTTACCTGAAATGAACAAAGCCTTGGGCTTCTCACTAAAGCACACCACAGAACCATGCAGGGGGATCTAGCAATACATAGAGAAGTATTCTTGACCTGCAGCACAATTCTACAGCCAACTTCCAAAGGAATTTATGGAGGAAGCTTATCATAGAATCACACTGGAGGCCCACAGAGAACACTTCTCTAGGCAGTGCTATGTTCTCCTGCATGTTTCTGTAGTATTCCAAGCTTTTCACACATAACTGAAATCACATTCAATACGCTTGCGCAATAAGCAAACCTACTGCACATCCATGGCGGGTTGAAATGGGGGATCATGATGTCGTTGACCCACTGTATTTATATTTAATTGGAAGAATGAAACATGCTATGGATGTTTGAGTTCTGACAGATTACAGCAAAGTCTAGTGTTCTGTCACGCACTGGGCCTGTAATAATTGTCTTTTGAAATAGGACGTGCACCTTGTGCCTAGCGGGGAGCCAGGGCGCCACAAAAGAGGCCCTCAAGGATTTCCCTGAAAAAATAGTCTTTAGATGGCTTGAAAGGTTAAACAAAGTCCTTTATTACTGAACAAATTAAACAGATATTTCTCAAATCTTCAATGAGTCAAACAAATGCTTCAAGGCTTTAAATCAACTGGTGGCTTCCTTAATCTTGTCCACAAGGGACAGGCAACTGTCTTCGTTAATTGTTCTTATACTTTGAGAGGAAAACCCTTTTCTAACCTCTCCCAGGCTGTCTGTTATCTAAGTTTTGTTAGTGTGGGATCTACAACCGATTCCAAACTGTGTCTTGGTAGCGAGTAAACCTACCAGACAAAGCTTGTAGATTCTCCAGCTGGAGTTCTTTGGGTCTGTAAAGCTGTTTTCCCTCTGGAATTTCTTTGAGACTTTAGGGCTGTTTCCCTCAGATGCTGTAAGGTTGAGAGGCTGCAAGCTCCCAGTCAGAGCTTTGGGAATTTTCCCCCAGAATGGCTTTAGAAATAAAGCTTTTCTGCAGGTGAAGCTTGTCCACGTCCTCTAACTTAGCTTTCCGCACTAAGACTAACTAAAGATGGCCCCCTCTTCCCTTCCCATCTCTCTGGGAGAAGGGGCAGATCCAAACTTAACAATGATAGACAGGTGGCTTGTCCTATGACTGCAAACCAAAGGAAGCCACCTTTTTGCAGAATCCCTGAAACTTTGGAATGCATGCAAACACTTAATAGACTTTGAGCTCCTGGTACAGACGTACCTGCACATCTAGCATTCCAATTCTCTATTTCCAGCATTCTACTAATGTACACAGCAGCAAAAGCGTAAAATCAGAAACTAAGAACAAGGGCCAAGTGAGGGAAGAATTACGTTGAAGAAAAGCAATTTGCATAGGGAAAGAAAATGTTAAAGCTCCTTGTGATTTCAAGTTATGTTAAACGTGTATGAAACATTATGTGCCATGTTCCAAAATATCTTGACATATTCTGCTGGTATGACAGAATATTGAAATAAGACACAAACAAGTAAGGAACACTCAGTTTGGAAACAGTGCTTGTTCTCCATTGGGAAGTTTATTTGTGAGTCATAGCCTTTTGCTGATCAATTGCTGCCGTCGGATGCAATCTCCAAGAATTCTATATAAAGTTGGCTGAGGTGCTTGTTCAGGAGGAAAGCTTAGGTCACCAAGTGAAATCACCCAGTATGATGTTATTAAATAAACTGTTAAATTCAATTTATTATCAGATTCCATTCATGAACCTTTGCTGTGCGGTTGTTGTGTGCCTTCGTCATTTCCAACCTATGCTGACCCTAAAGAGCACCTATCCCAGGGTTGTTGTTGTGGTTTTTTTGTTTTTTGTTTTTGTAAGACTTGTTCAGAAGATATTTACCATTGCCCTCCTCTGGCACCGAGAAGGTATGACTTACCCCAGCTTACATAATGGATTTTTTAGCAGCGAACTGAGGATTCAAACCCTGTTCTGCAGACTCATAGGACGCTTCCAGACAGTGTCAAAATGCAGGGTTTTTTTTTTAAAGGGCAAAAAATCCTGGGATCTGACAACAAATCCACACACAGACCTGTCAGTCCCAGGAAATGCTCGCCCACCATCCTCATATCTTCCTTTGAAGTGGATCAAGATGGAGAGAAGAAAAGGGACATCCAGAAGGTTTTTTTAAAAAAAAAACAAAAAAAACAATTCTCTCAGAAATGCACTGGACCTTATATGCACACATGCGAATATCTTAATGTACACACAAGCAGATATCGTTCCTCACCCAATTCTAAATTCAAGCCCTATTTAATACTGTATTATAAAGAGCAAAAGAAATTTCTTTCTAATTGTGCTTCCCTTGAGCCACCTGTGTGTCGGTGGCTCCATTTTATGGCAGCCCAATCAGCTGTTTCAGGCCTTTAAAAAACACACATGCACACAGGAGGAAGAAAAAAGAGCACGTGTTTTGCATGACTGCAGGTATATACAGTATATACAGGTGCCCCCGATGGAGCAGTGGGTTAAACCTCTGGGCCGGCAGGACTGAAGACCAACAGGTCGCAGGTTCGAATCTGGGGAGAGGTGGATGAGCTCCCTCTATCAGCTCCAGCTCCTCATGCGGGGACATGAGAGAAGCCTCCCACAAGGATGATAAAAACATCAAATCATCCAGGCGTCCCCAGGGGAATATCCTTGCAGACGGCCAATTCTCTCACACCAGAAGCGACTTGCAGTTTCTCAAGTTGCTCCTGACATGACAAAAAAAAAGAGGTATATACAGTAATGCGAAGGTGCACATTTTTTGGGAAGAATCGGTTTTTAAGTGCACCTTTTTAACACATGCTTTTCAGCTGTGAATCTGATTTTAGCCATGTGTAGAAGAGCCCATAGTAAAACATTCAAAAAATTACAGACTTCCCCTTTAGTAGTTACCAAGAAGTCTCTGAAAAGCCATCAAATAGGACATGAGAGGAGTAACATTATTTTGTTCTGTTGCACCTCCAACAACTGGCAATTCAGTGATACGCTGCTTTCAAAATGTTGGCTTCCACAAAGTCATTGTGACTAAAAGCCATTAACTGGTAACCAAATCACCATCACCAAAACTCAAAAGAGTGGGTCCAAATATACCACAAGATTTCAGCTCAAAACTTTTCTTTGCTCTTGCTATAAGTTTTTAAGTCATGGCTGATTTATGTGAACATATCAAAGGTATTTTGTGAGCAAGATTTCTTCAGAGATTATTTGTGTTTGGCATCTTCTGAGACTGGGAGTGTGCATGTTGACCAGGAGTACTTGGGGCCCATCCAGACAGGGCCTAAAATGTGTGAGCTCTCGTGCTTTTACCGGAGGCATCCAAATAATGCCTCCAGTAAAAGAGGAATAATTTGTGACAAAGCAGGAAAACCCCACTTTGTCATGAATTATTTTGATACTCCATTAGACCCGGGTCTTCCTGAAAGGTCTGGGTCTAATGGAGTATGGTTCCTGTGGGGACAGACTACCGGGTGTCCAATTACAGCCCAATTCTCTTATTCGGGCCCCATGGGCCCTGAGAAGAGGAAACTCACCCCTTCCCAAATCTACCCTAAAACCTTTGAAATAAAATAAACACTTACTGTGCTGCCATTAAGCCTCTCTGGATGCTCCTGTCGCATACCAATGTTGCACTAGGAGGCAAGGGGAATCGCTCCTACCCCACTGACCCTGCATCCTGGCGCAACACTGGTATGTGCCAGGAGCCTTCAGAGAGGCATCATGGTGTCCTAATAAGTTTTAAATTTTATTTAAAGGGGTATTTTTTTTTGGAGGGGTGATATGGGTTGTCCCCATTCAAGCACAATAGTTACTCCACTGCAATGGGGAAAAGTGACAGGAAAGTTGACTTTTGGGTGCAACATGGGTGAAAACAGGTTACTTTAACTTGCAGTCTGAAAATGCCTTTAGTGAGTTTCCATGAWTAAGCAGGGTTTTGAACCCTGGTCCTCCAGAGCTCTTTCAAGTTTTCATGCTGTCTTCCATYCATCAAAAATTAAAATTACTTACACTCAGTTAATCAYCTCATTGGTTAACTACTGCTTAACCAAGTAGGAATTCTTTCACCAGTCTTTGTGTGTTTGTCAGGAGCGACTTGAGAAACTGCAAGTCTCTTCTGTTGTGAGAGAATAGTCCGTCTGCAAGGACGTTGCCCAGGGGATGCCTGGATGTTTTGATGTTTTACTATCCTTGTGGGAGGCTTCTCTCATGTCCCTGCATGGGGAGCTGCATGGGGAGCTGGAGAGGAAGCTCAACCCCKTTTCCCCAGATTCTAACCTCTGACGTGTTGGTCATCAGTCCTGCCAGCACAAGGGTTTAACCCATTGCGCCACCAGGGGCTCCTTTCATCTAATGGAAACCCAACAAAAAAGCAAGTTTTTACAAACAGTATGTTTATCTTTATAGTTCTTCAAAACAGACATGCATTGCATAACCACCCCCTCAACCCAAACACTCACCTTTCCGAACCATGATTTTGAAACCAGCTGTAGGTATTATGCATGAAGTTTAATTGAGTTCCATGTCTTATCTGTGAGAGAAGAAGAACATAAATAAAGTTGTCACCGAACAGTTAGATAAAGTGTATTTGGTACTGTAAAATCTAACAGGGATTGATTAGGTGGAGGATAAGTTTGTCCATAATTATAGGTGACGAAGAACCTTATATCAATACTGGGAAGGGGACAGTTTTTCACCATATTTATGGACAGAATGTCAGATCAGGATCATTCAGAGCAGATAGGTGAACTCTATTTTCCAACATCTCAGAACACTTTCACATAGGACTTAAATGCCCGTCGAAGCAGGTTTAAATGTCATCCCAATAACAAGCCATCCCAAAGTCCCCCAAAATAAGCACTTAATAGTTTAAAAAACTTACCCAGCCACCATTATCTTCCTCCTCACACCCAGGAAGATGGTGGCTGAGGAGGAAAATCCTACAAATTATTCAAGTCAAGTATCCCTGATCTCCACCAGCAGAAGTCCAAGATCCCTGCTCATGTTATCCAAAATATGGATCACAAGCAACCCCAAAGGGTCTATATAACTAGGAAATATCACACTAAGTTCTAACAAAACTCATCTTCTCATACCATGCTATTTTCGTCCTCTCATATATTTTTTTGCATGTGTTTACACATACTGAAAAGGTTGCTCTTTTCAACTGTCTGGCCTTCTCATTTAGCTTCAGATCTAAAAGTCAAACTGATACCTTCTTAACCTGTGCTTAATTGGTTTTAAGAGCTGAGAATAACCTTGCTGGCCTCTTTCTTTTCTGTTTCTTCTTTGCAACCTACCATTAGAAGCTGATTGCTAATGATAATACTTAAAGAAGAAAGAACCAATCATGTCAATGGGAGCTTCTTTGAAAAAATATTTAGAGAAACATTATGTTAATAAGATAGGGAAATGTAAACAGCTGGCCCTCCACATTCACAGATTCTACATCTACAGCTTGAAACCTCCACCCCCGCATGTTAATTTGCCATTTTATATATAAGGGACACCATTGTACTAGAGCACTGTAAATAGTGGGACCTGAGCATCCACAAATTTTGATATAGAATCATAGAGATGGAAGAGACCTCATGGGCCATCCAGTCCAACTTCCTGCCAAGAAGCAGGAAAATTGCATTCAAAGCACCCCTGACAGATGGCCATCCAGCCTCTGTTTAAAAGCCTCCAAAGAAGGAGACTCTACCACACTCCAGGGCAGAGAGTTCCACTGCTGAGCAGTTCTCATAGTCAGGAAGTCTTCCTAATGTTCAGATGGAATCTACTGTAGTTTGAAGCCATTGTTCTATCATGTCTCCTCTCAGCCTTCTCTTCTTCAGGCTAAACATGCCCAGCTCTTTAAGCTTCAGGGAGTTCTGGAACCAAATCCCAGGAGATACCAATTCTGATTGTTTTCTTAATCAAACAAAGAGTTCTGCTGGATTTAACACTGTGGGAGAGTGAGATAGAAAGCTCATTGACTTGCCCTTCCCTGCTGAATTCAAAGGGGAACCTTTATATTTCCACTGGGGAAGCATTCACCCTTCCCAGAATTAAGTTGTTTAATTTCCTGCTGCCACTGCATGCTTTCTTTTCCCTTGAGCTATCTAGCATTGAGTTGAGATATCTAGTAGGCCTGGGTAACAATGGAAAAATTTGTTTCTAAAATCGATTCGTTTTTTGGGGGGTTTTGCGTTTCGTTATTTAAAATAATTACAAAATTTTCCTTAAAAAAAGTTCGATATTTACGAAATTTCGTAAATGGTAAAAAAATTACAAAACAATAACAAAACAATAACGAATCGATTCGTTAATGGCGGCCGCGATCGCGCAATACGCTAAAAAAACTTCTGAAGCTTCCCTCTCCCTCTGTTGTTGACTGTTGGTGTGATATTATAATTTTTTTTCGCTAATTAAACAAAAAACAACTATAAAACTTGCCCCAGACGTGCGGAAATAATAACGAAACGACCTCAAACCAATAACGAAACGAATACATAACAAAATACGAAGCATTTGCAAAACGTATTTAAAAATTCATTTCGTTTTTAAGTTGCTCCAGAATAGTTCGTTATCGCTTCGTTATTAAAAAATTAACGAATTTTTAACGAATTACGAATTAACGAAACGAAACCGCCCAGCCCTACTATCTAGCATTGAGTATTCCACTGAAAAACCATGGCTGACATATTGTGTGGGATGTTCATCTTTGTAAATGACCTTACTTTTGCATAAAATTGAACCAAACAGTTTTGCATTGCCTGTTTTCATGTAGTGGCTTCCACAACATTACAGGCTTTCATCGTGCAATGAACTTACGGTTTTAAATTTTACACTTCTGATGAGAAATCATCGATAAGGCTTACTGAAAAAGCAGGCATATCCTCTGACTCAGTTCTCAAGGTCTTCCTGAGAGGTATCTGAAAGTCTGTATCTTCTCCTATGAGTCTGCCCAAATCCTGGTCTTCAGGGGAGGCCTTTATCTCCATCCCGTTATTTAATGAATTAATTAACTGAAATATTTATTTTATCATGATGATCCAAAGGTAGTATCCAATATAAACAATTTAAAACACTTCCTGATTAAATGCATCCATACATGAAAGAAGAATAACACATTTCAGACAAAATAACAGTTAAAACTACTCCAAGAACTCCAGAGTTCAAAGCTATGCATTGTACTCTTTGAAGTAAATGAGCCCACGTGGGCTTTAATTCTATTCTATGGTGTGTCTCATTACCAAAAACAAAACAACATTGGCAACTGGTGATACTGTGATATCTGCCAGCCATAAATACTCAAACTTTGGGTTGCCACTGAGCCTTTCATACTATTCAAATATTCATAATATTGCTGAGGAATTCTGCAAGGTTCTGAATATTAGTAACTGTATGTGAATAGAATCTTACTGGATTAAAACCTACTTGCTGTGCAACTATACTGTAGAATTAAAGTGGTTTGTGCACTGGATACATTTTTGCTTGAACTGTGATTATGTAAAATCACATATTTTACCAAACACTATGAAATTACATCATGTCTGGTTCCATACAGTTGTGTTGGAGAATCTAGAGGTTCTTAGAAAGCTATCCTAGGAGAGTTGTGTTGCAGCATTTAAAGATTCCTAGAGCGACATCCTCTCTAAAAGTCTTCCAACACAACTCTGTGCTAATTTATGGGAGAAGAATATTATAATGTTGCTTGGAGAACCTAGAAAATGCCCAGGAAATGCCCACATTTTCCCGCATTAGCTAAATGAAACCAAGAATATGTGTTACATGGCTACAGGGATTTTACTGTACCAATTTGGCTATAAACGAGTCCTTACATGGTAAAAACCATGTTCATCACCTTTGGTCCTCTAAATGTTCTGAATTCCATCTTCCAGAATCTCTGAGCATTGTTTGTGCTGACTGAGCCAGGGCTTCTCGGGGGTGGAGATTTAAAATATCTGGATAGCCACTGGTAGAAAATGTTCTGGGCCATTGTCTATCTATGAGAAAATTTACATACATCACGGAGCAGGACAATTGGACATTGCCCTGTGTTAAATGATATTGTGCCCCAGCTCCTGTGCTCTCATCAGACGTAACCGTGCTGGGAAATATTGGTAATGATGGATAAGTTGTCTTTCTGGGAAGCTTGTCTGGTATTGTAAATGATCTCACCAAAGAAGCCTTTGTACATTTCCAATCAACTCCAGAGTTCTCATTACTTACTGTCAAATAATTCTTAAACCAGGTTTCTGACTTCTTACAGAAAGAGCCTTTGCACTAAATTTATCTCAGAGATGACAGGGCTTTTATCAGTACAATGGCTAATTGCCTGAAATAACGGCATACAGGAAAAGTAACCTCTGACAGAATGAATCTGATTAAATTAAGGACCAAGGCCATGTGGAGAAAAAAAGGCTATATCAGAGAAACTCATATAACTTTCCCGAAACTTAGAATTGCAATCTTTGGGAAGAACAACCTCTCAACTCTACCATTTTCCAAGGCCCATTTTGTGTGGACCTTACTGCCCTCTTCCATAGTGCTCTTTCCACCAAAGTGATGCTTCTGGACTATTTGAATGCCTGGGCAGTGGCTCTTTGGTGCTTTCCCACCAAAGGAGCTTTGATAAAGTAGAAGGATTCAGTAATTCTTTTAGGTTCTCCTGAGACAGACTAAGCTCTCATCTTTCACCGCTCTACTCAGATAAGGAGACTGTTCCTTTTTTCATAAGAGTTAAGGTAGAATAGTCGCACTAATCCATGGATAAGTCAACTCAGTTTTTTTGGTCAATTTTTTACTAAAATTTCAAGACTTATGCATGAGTATAAATAGGACCTTTTGCATAGAATCATAGAATCAAAGAGTTGGAAGAGACCTCATAGGCCATCCAGTCCAACCCCCTGCCAAGAAACAGGAATATTGCATTCAAATCACCCCCGACAGATGGCCATCCAGCCTATTGTATTTGACTGTACTGCTTTACTGGGGGAAAATCAGGATTATCATAATTGTCACCTCCTCCTCCTCCTCCTCCTCCTCCTTCTTCTGTTTCATTATCATCTTCCCCTTCCTCTTTTTCTTAAGACATCTGGGTGATGTTTGCACTTTACAGAACAAAGAATGTTTGTACACTGTTTTGATAAACCAGCTTGATTTGTTGAGTCATACAAAATGTTCACTTACACTGGTTACTGCCCTCTGGTCAATTCATCTTTTCCAGAATATCTGAAGAAAGTAGAACATGTCCAGATGAGGTCAATCAAGATGGAAAAGAGCATAAAAGCCAACTCTATATGGAACATCCCTTATAGTATGCTTAAAACTAGAGAAGGGAAGAATGAGTAGAAATATGTCTGTCATTATTACATTTCAGGAAGGCTATCATGTAGAAACACACTGTATTTCTAGGCACCAAGATTACTGCAGACGCAGACAGGAAATCAGAAGATGTTTACTTCTTCGGAGGAGAGCAAAGACCAATCTCGATAAGATAGTGAAGAGTTGAGACATCACACTGGCAATGAAGATCCGCAAAGT